TGGATGACTATGTAAACTGTGAAGCATGACTATGCAAACAATTCTTTAACCACAAAGGAGTTCATCTAACAGCTTTAATCTTCAGAATTTTGACTCTGAATGCTGGCCTTGTTGGCCACACCCACTAATTACCACACCCAAATCATCAAGGCCCACCCAAGGATCCAATCCTAGATCCGCCCCTGATGGTAAGGATTTTAATACTTTTTGTGTATCCTAGCTACAAGAAATGCATCTAATCTGATTGGACGCATGGTAGAACACGGTTATACACCTCGGTCTCGGTTTCTATGGCATTTATTGACCTCGGGACTGCGTCCCTCGGTCAATAAATCCCATAGAAACCTCGACCTCGGTGTATAACCTATACTTATTTATAATAATAAAAATTTAATTGTTATTTTTATTGAATATTTACAGTCAAATTTGTGCAGTTACGGAAAGCAATTTGTGGTTCATCGTCCATCGACATTAAAAATTTTGTTTGTTGAGTATTTTGAATGTTCGCTAAACTATCTGATATCTTAATCATTTGTTCAGCTGTGATATCCTTTTGTAGCTTCTCACTCCATCAATGCTATGGTGACCAGTGCGTTGCAGTTGCTTGTCAGTAAAGAGTGATTAGTTTTGACTCCTTTTATTCCTCCCATTTCAAACATTGTTTTTGTCATTATACCATTGTTTTGTTGTTTTGTTCATTATAGATACCACACACCATGTGGTATAGAGTATTAGGAACATAAGTTCAGTGCCGTCTTCAGTTTTTACTCACTTCCAGGACAAACATTTCCATAGATTTTGCTAGCTCTTCGCGACTGAGAGACATGATAAATGGAGTTTCATCAAGTTGTACTTGTAGCTTCCATCTACACCAAGTATATATTCCATTGGTTTATGCACCAATAATTATTGTTTCTACCCTCGTTTTTTCGCCCGGCGGTTACCGATGCCAGCACTCCTTGCTGGTTTGCGATAGCGTATCTTTATCCTTGTGCTGTTTGCTGCAGAGCTCTAACAGGACAGGCTAGTATTGTAGAAGACATTGCCCAGTGATATCTTTGTCGGACCTAGCTAGTT